AATCACAGCAAGTTTTCCAGGTCTTGAAGCATAGAGGCAGTCCTGTGATATAATACTAACTACATTGTACATTTAAGTAGTGATGCTTTCTTTCTATAATGCTTTTTATCCCATTTGAAATACAGAAACCTTTTGAAAATGAAACAGTTACCCATCAGTATGTGACCAGGATTTTTTTGGTACAGTGGAAGAAGAAGTTGTCCATCCCAATATATCCCACTTTATTACTGTATGTCATGAACACTGACCTTAACTGAAGTAAGTCTGGCCTGGAGAGATTTAGATATTTTTCTGGGTATTTGTGACCTGTTGGATGAGTCTTCAATGCAATTTTGGAGTAATCTTTGTAAACAGGGTTCACCATCTCCAAACGTTTAAAACATTTTCTTCAATTTCTCAAGACCGCAGAGTTTTGGGTTTCGTTCTAGATATCTTTTTCTGATATTGAAATTGATTTGATTATCTGAAACATCTAACTGTGACAAGGCAAACAGAGAAATATGCACTAAAATAAGACAAATGCTTCTCTACCACACTGCACAAATAAGCGATTGATAGGGAGAAAATAGTCGTCTCTGTTTCAATGGTTTAGCTTGAAACTGTGCACACTGTCTTCAGGGAACTAAGATTTTTCTGCTTTAAAATTTTTCAGCAAACACTCCATTTTGTCGTAGGCTTTGTTATTGAAGGACTACACCACAGGCCTATTGTATTGTCCTCAAGACATCACATCTGACTTGACATCATACTACAATATGGCTGAGGATTTGTTATGACTTCATTTAAGACCACTGTTGTGCACAAAGCATAATCCCACATTATTCTGCAATGACAAGAGCTTGCAAAGAGTTTAACAAATAGACTGTTCTGAATCCAGAACCCTTGGCAGAGTTTCATCCTATTGTGATTCACAGAGAAAGACTCTGCAGAAACATGTTGAAACTCTCTCTCTGGGCTTTTTCAGTTTACTCTGATAGGGGGTAGGGGGCTACATCTTTGAAGTTGTACAGTTACTAATAGATTTGACCTAAAGTTTATAATGCTCCTCATGTGATGGTCTCCAGTGTTACTTTGCAAAGCAAACTAAGAATATAACTGTGGATATTTGTTCCTCTCAGAGATTAAAACAAGAAGCTCCTCCACAGTTTGTCAAGTAGAAGTGTGAGAATGCAATCCTTTTTTCCAAGTATGAAGAGGTGTTAGTTAGGTTTAAATGACTCATTTCCAGTCTTGGCAGGTTGTCTGGATTGCGTAATAATTTAGAACCTTTAAATGTGACAGGCAAAGACAGCAATTTAATTAGGATTGTGGCATATAAACTTTGTCTAATAAAATCAGGCTAGACGATACAATACTTATTTTCGTTTGAGTCAAATCCAAAGAATCTCTGCTTTACAATTAATAAGAGTCTCAAGTCTGTGAGAAAACGTCTCCTTCACTAAACCACAACGACCTTGGTGTTGCATTTTTAAAAGGAATGTGGAAACAAGAAAAGGGAGTTGGGATTCTAATGCTTCATTTCCTTTATCTGTGGGAACCCTTTTAAGATATAAATATCGGGCTTGAAACAGTTATTCAATGTTCACACGGGAAAAAAAATCCCCAAACTCTTTAATGGATAATATGATTCATTGTGTAACAGTTTCTCTTACATGCCACTTTCACTGACCCAAAAGAAACTCAATTTTTGTTCTGTTTTGTATCGCTTCAACAACATGTTAAAACAACTTCCTCTTCTACTTCATAGGTGGAAGAAAAAGGATGTATGGTTTCTAATTTTTTTTTTTTTTTTTTTTTTTTTTTTTACAAATAAAATTAAGACAGTGTAACATCCATTTGGCATTTGTATTAAATCCGCCTGTGTCCATAACTTGTCCACACCTTGTTGAAATTAAACCTGTTAAAATTACAGGCATGTTTCTACTTGCTTTGTATATCAAGGGAATATAATTAAACATTATGAAAACGTGCAATTTCATCGTGCAGTGTGAGCTATAGCTGCTTGCAACAATTGAAAAAATCGCATAGTGTATGCCCGGCTTTAAAATATTAATAACAAAAGAAGTTTGTTGATGTTGGCGGATAATAGATAAAAAGATTATTTTTAAAACAGTCCTAGCAACAAAGTCAAACATTTTTTGAACTGCTTTAAAGAAATATGAAGCCTGTCCATCTTGTATTCTCTGTCCATTCTTTAGCAGGTGCATCTAAGCCCTTGAGTGTCTCTGTTGAGCCGCAGCTCCTGGGCTACTTTGCTGCTTCTAACCTTACAAAGGATCAATAACATTAAAAATGCCCTAACAGAAAGTGGTAAAATAGTTTAGATTTAGATTCTGATCTCCATATTTGTGACACTCTAGTGCAGGCGTCACAAACCTTGTCGAGGCTGAGAGCTACAGTACCTAATGAGTGCTTAGTCATATGAAGAGTCAGTGTTCACCTAATATTTATATATATTTGGATTAGAATGACAATATTCTTTTTTTTTTTTTTTTGGACTTTGTTTTTTGGTTTCTTGCCCTCCTTCTTGGTTCCCCCTCCACCCACCCTGGGTGGATTTTTTTTGGACATTTTCGGGCGTCTGAAATCCGCCCTTGAGTGGGAGGGACTGTCACAGTCTTGGTTCTATTATGTTTTCTTTTGAGTGTTCAGTTTAACTTTGCTCCATGTTGTCTAGTTTTATTGGTTTAATTCTTATTTTGTTGTATGTTCTGGTTATATTTCAGTTCTCAGGTTTTATTTGTTGCTCTCTGTTGCCCTCTTGTGTTGGTCTCATTTTTACCTTGCTCCTTAAACTGCTCTCTTCACACCTGCTCCCAATCTGCTCGTTAGTCCTCTCTTTGTTCAGTTAGCCATAAATACTCTCCTTGTGCAGTTCCTCAGTGCTGGTTACTCGTCTAACTTCCTCCAACTCCGTCATTTACCCCATTTACACTACCCTTGAAAAACCGATCCATGCAGAGACAGGTCCGAGCTCGGCTCAGTTAACCAGGCCGAGCTCGGTTCTGACGACCGTTTACACATCACACTATCTTGGTTCCTCGACTCCTCGCCTCCTAGTAACGATCTGCAGTATTACTGCCAGTATTAAAGGAGGAAATCAAGCAGTTGGTGGCGGTAATGCACCAAAAGTTGTTTGCCAACAGCCATAAAACACAAGAAGAAGACAAAGAAGGAGGGAATCAAGCAAATTAAAATGGCGGTGCCAAGTCACATTCAGAAAGTTATGCTTGATTATTATTGCTGCACTTCGGTGTTATTATTTAAAATGCCATTATTTAAAATGTTTTATGGAGAAGATTTCGATTGTTGTTTATAGTTGAAGAAGAAGTTGTTCTTCTTCTTCTGTTTCTGGAGGGGCATTACTGCCAACTACTGGAATGGAGAGTGAATCGCGATGTGCAGCCAGACGGAGATGACGTTTTCTGCTCATGCGCTCTTGTTATCAGAGAACCGAGCCAGGGAAAAACCGAGCGAGCCCACCTCTGGAACTGGTCTGCAGTTATCTCGGTTCGGTTGTGTCTAGCTCGGTTCAGTTCAGTTTGCTTACCATTTACACACGATAAGTTATCTCAGTTACTGAGCTTGGACCGGTCTCAGCACGGTTTTTCAAGGGTAGTGTAAATGGGGTATTACTGTGTCTTCCTCGTTGTGATGGTTTTCCCCTGAAGTCCCCATGGTTTCTGGTTTGTTTTACTTTTTTCAGGGTTGATTTTTGGACTTTTGGATTCCTGCCTCAGTTCTCGATTAACATTTCATTAAATCTACAAGAAACTCACCTCTGCCTCTGCATTTGGGTCCTCAAACCACAACCAAATCGTGACACGAGGAAGCCAGAGTACTTGGAAAGAACCCACGCATTGTCAGGGAGAACATGCAAATTCCATGTAGAAAGACCCCAGGCCAGGAATCAAACCCAGAACCTTCTTGCTGCAAGGCAGCAGTGCTACCCACTGTACCAATGAGCAGTCCACGCCAGAACCAATTCAGGATAAATCTACATCACACTGTATTAAAAAAGGAAAAGGAAGAAGCACATCATCCAAATAAAATAACTCAAGACAGACTCAATTTTTATAAAGCCCTTGCTGATAAAAATATGCTAATATTTACACATCGATGCTGTCTAAATTAAAGGCATATTGGACAACCTTCTTTTAGCTTTGCATTTCAGGGATGCATATCTATTGGCAATGCATTCTCACTACCAAGTTGTCAAATATCGATGCTTATTTAAGCCCGTGTCACTTCAGATATTTATTAACACACAGGGTGCACAACAGGTTTAGGCAGGAACTTGCAAAAATATTCTGTCAACTGCAAATTAAAAAACTAATGCCAACCAACCCCTTACCCTAAACATAAAGAAACACTAGTATACATGTCTTTGTAAGGTAAAATAAAAAAAAGGATTTGTTGCGGGTCACGTGGGTGTCAGGTGATACAATGTCCACTACCTATCATTTACCCTGGATGTCAATATAGATCAAGAGTGATACCTACTGGGATCTATGACTGAAAGGGTCAATATTTGATGAGTTGGGAGTGAGAAAGTGTTGCTATTTGGTGTCCAAGTCCTTGTGAGGTGTTCACCTAAGGATAAGGCTTCTAGTGTTAATGTATCCAGGTAGCTTCTGTTGTAGCCCCTCTGCTCTAACTGTATTCTTTAAAAATGGCTTAAGGTTGCAAAAAATAAACTATTATTTGTATTTGTAGTCTTCAATGTTAGTATGTTTAATTGGAATAAATAACCATAGGGATGGCCACAAGAGTTGCCAAAGAGTTCCCCCAGCTTTAGCTACGCCCCTGGTGCCCTGTAACTTGGCAAACATATTATACAAATACACAAAACAGTCATGACCTAAAAGTAAGGTCTTCCAAGGAAGGTCTATGTTACAAGAGCTGACATGGGACAGATTAGGTTATCTTGCTTTAAACAATGACATATTTACTGCTGCCCACACCTGTTGAACCAACTTTTTGCTTTCCATTCAGATTCTCTAAATGGGCCATTTCCTCCAGCATCCCACCAATTTCATCAGAAACCAAAGCGCTACTTGGCAATCCAGCCATGTGGAAATTTGTCCTCCTTTCCTCTGCTGTTCCACCCCAGCACCAAAGGCTCGCAGATTATTATGGACCTGTCACAGAGAGTTGTCAAGAGACAAGCCAGCTTCTGCAATGCTATCACCTTCACCAACAGGCCCATCGCTGTTTATGAACAAGTTCGGCTGAAGGTAAACGTGTTTATAATTGGTTTTGCTGGTATACTAATCAGAGGACACTGCTATCTATTTAGTATATAATTCTCACTGTGACACATTTTCCACATCTGATTAGGGAGGAAAACGGTCAGTGGGATTCTGATTTAAAGTAGAAGTTCTCTTTTTTGTTCCCAACTAACTCCCACAGTATTATTTCTTTGCAATTTTTTATCTCCAATCTTTTCTCTCTATGCTGCTCTTGTGTGGGCCAAAGCAGCGGCAGCTTAGAAGAAGTTTCCACTTCACCTATCAGCCCATCTATTTCTCAAAAGCGAGAGAGCAGGGCAAGCACTGCCATATGAGGAATATTGTTATCTTGAGCCTTACATTCTAACAAAATAGAGGGTTGAAATAAGACAAAAATCGTTTGCAGGTGATAAACATACCAACGTAACCAGCCTTAGTTGGAAAAACAGAAATGTTGCTTTAAGCAATGCTTGTGGCTTGGCACTTAGGATAGGAATGTAAGCCTGACTCCCAATTCAACTGGGAAGTGTGTTGAAAACATAATTGAAAACTCAAATCAAAAACGTTGCTTACAGGGTATTTTACACTCAATTCTAACTATGTAATTCTTAATAAAAAGCTATTATTTGCTCTGTCGAGATTAGATGACATTTGACCTAGAATATAATTTTGGAAAGTAAAGTAATCTTTTATCTTTATGTCAGTCACATTAATTATGCCTATGTGATGCACTGGTCACCTTTCCAGGTGATAAATGGTGTGGTTCTAATGATGGCATTAGTACACAATGACAGCCACATTTGTTGGAAAATTTCATTTAAAATCACTTTTGAACTGATGTTTACTTTGACATGTTGGTTTCAGTCTCTCACAGGTCCATGTTGAGAATAACTTAAACCTGGAAGAAAAATGTGTCACAACATTATCGTAATTATCCTTAATTTGATCTCTTTGTTGGTAACAATAGTGGTTTCCGTAGTACAGTATGCAATGCAATCAACAAGTGAACAAATAAGAAAAAACCAATATAGAATAGAATAAAATTAAAAATCCCTTTATTGTCCCATAATGGGGAAATTATGGTATAAGAATAACATAATAGTGAGTAAAAAGATAAACAATAAAATACTGTACCGTAAAGTGTTAAAACAATATAAAAACTGTGCGCTGGAGAATAAATAGCCATTATACAGCTATGGACATTTTTATAGTAATGGATATTTGAAAATAGCAGCAACATCAGAGATGTGCAAAAGTGACAGCAGCATGCAAATAAAAGAAGTGGATGATCAAATTTGCTGTTTTTTGTCATGATTGAGTAACTTTTGATCCAACTCTGTCCACTGTACTCTCCAGATCACTAAAAAGCAATGCTGTTGGAGTGGAGCCCTACGTCTGGGTTTTACATCTAAAGACCCATCAAGGATTAATCCAGACAACTTGCCCAAGTATGCCTGCCCTGACCTCGTCTCTCAAAATGGCTTCTGGGCAAAAGCACTGCCAGAGGAGCTATCTAATGAGGGGAATGTCATATCTTTCTGGGTTGATAAGAAGGGCAGAGTGTTTTACCGTATCAACAACTCCAACCCCATGATGTTCTTCAATGGTGTGCGTGTTGCTGATCCTCTTTGGGCTCTCATTGATGTCTATGGCTTAACTAGAGGAGTCCAACTGCTTGGTAAGTCATATATCGAGTCCCAACTCATGTTTTGGGAATGTTAAGATTTGTGCTGACTTTTTGTTTTCAATAATCTAATACCTAAACAGGTAAAGTATAGTTTTCCTTTCATATAGAGCTTTATTCTGATATTTATTTAGGGCTAAGGAACAAACTTAAATGTGTTAAACATGATTCTGCTGAGGAATCGGCAAGAATTCAACCCCTGATCATTGTCACTGAGCTTTTATCTTCTGTTACCTCAAAACTTTTTGTACCACTGAGTGCTTTTATTTTAATTTTTTTTATTCTGACAGATAAAAGGTTACATTACATTACATTAAATCGTGCGGGTTTTTTTCCCACACCACCAAAATGACCCAATGGAAAAAGATGGCGAGGGATAAGCAAGACTCTTTAGTTCCTACGGTTGTTGGATTTAGAGTAGTTTCCATGAGGGAAGAATTTCTAAATGTTTAAATTCTATTCCAACAAATGCAGTTTAAAGGGTGATTACATCAAAGATATTAAAGGTAAACAGGACCTTCTCAATTATTAACAGCCGTTGTTTACATACCAAATGTAAATAATAAAAAATTCAGCAAAATAAGGGTAATCGTAATCCCTTAAGAACACGTCCGTTATTATTTAACATCTTTCCAAAATTTGCACTTCTCTCTTTATAGTTACACTCTGTCGGCACCTTTAATAAAAATAGAAGAGGCTCCAGGATTGGACGATAGTGCTGTTAAAACTCATTTCTTGTGGTGTGGTTGACAGCGGGAAGCATGCTATCTCATGATGGACTGTTTGGTATCGGCTCCTGGAGTGAGACTATCTCGGGTTCACTGGCCTCATGGTGCTACACAGCCCATGAGGCCAGTAGAACAAGAACAAGAGCAGTGTATTTGTTCATCCAAGGGGTTGGTCAAGAAAAGAGATGATGTCAGGATATGACAAGTCTGACATGCTTTTGGAACAAAGTCAGACTAATGAAATGTCCCATTCTTCGTGGTTCCTGAGCCATTCATATAAAAGTTCCCAGGGTTGCCAAAACAGCGCGCAGCACTTGGTATTTTATTTTGGCAAAAGAGCAGCTGGCTGAAAACTTGAAAGCCAGCAAGAAAAGCGGGGCAGAAATAAGTTTCAATAACACCTAAGAACCCTTGGTATCCTTCAAATGTAACTTACCTTGGCTGAACAGTCTTCACTCTTCATCTTGAATGTAGTTGGACTGACACAATTTGCTTTGTGCATTAAAGTGACTTAAACACTTGCTGTTATTATAAACTGGTAATATAACTTATTTCTTCCTTAAGTACATTCTATACTGTATGGCTCTTGCACCTGTCACTCCGAGGATGGGCTGTTCAGAAACAAATTTTGCTGTGCTCTGTACAATGACATATAAAAACATTCTGATACTGTTTATTTGTGCTCAGGCACATATTGTAAATCCCTTATCCAGATTTCCCATTTGGTGTTCTGACCTCAGGGTGAATTCTGTTGCTATGTTTCAAATTTAGACCTGGGAAAATCCAACTTCTGACTTAGAACAAAATGCAGTGTTATTTACCTGGGTATTGTTTGGCAACTCCACGAGCAGTCAGTACAACACAGCTTCTCAAGAACTAGTTCTTCTCTTACTTCAAAATAGAAGACTCAAAAATAGATACACCAAACTCTCTTGCTCAAATTGCTCTGCTTAACATACAATGCTAATAAAATCTTAGACCCGGTTTACTAAACGCAATGATAATAATGTGCTTTGCTTTATAGATCATCCCCTTTAGAACTTGTTACACCTTTTGGTGTACATGTACTGTATAGACAAATGTTCCATTTAATGTTTTTGTTAAAAGTTTCTGAAGTTTATACTCAAACTTTATGAAGTATTTATGTGGGGTTATGCTTTAATCCTGTTATTTATACACTTATATTAGTTCAGATTCAGTCTCCAATGTCTTGTATCATAGATATATTCCTGCTCCAGCATATTTATCTTAATTACATCCTCAGAGTTGTCAAGTTCTGAAGTTCTGAAAAAAAAAAGAAATCTACCATGCAATTTCAGGTCAGTCAAACAAGGAGATTGTCAAAAAAAATGCAAGACAACAGCTCTTTGGGACATAAGCTGCAGACCCCTTTGCCTAAACATTGAAGCAGAACTCATTTCTGTACATTATTATAACTACATATGTGCATCTCACAAATAAGTGCATGATATGTTACTCATAAGAATTAGATCAAATAGGATTTCAAGGTCAGTTCTTAAATTTTTATGCCCTAATCGTGGGGTTTTGTACCAGAAAATCGAATTATACTCATAGTTTTAATCAGACCACTTCTTAGTTTTACAGATCAGCCGGAGGTTTCTTGATTAGATAGAATCCTACTGTCTCTATACTGATTCTCCCTCACAAATCACCTTTTTCCACAAATGGATGATCTAAGCTCAGAAGCTTATGTCCTTGGTCTGTTTGAGGATCAATGAACTATCAGCTTTCCTTTATATTCTGAGAGCATCACCTTTGGATCTAAAAGAGCACAGCACTCTCATAAGAGCTGGCACCTGTTCAGCTAAAACAAACTCTTTTGAAATAAAGGCAGACAACAAAGTTGGGTGTTGCAAACCAGCACGTATTTTCACTTAACAACAGATTACATTATGATTCTTAATGATGCGTACACTAGAGTCTAAAATGTAAGCTACAGTGCACCACCTGATAAGCTTAGCCAAATTTCACCTGCTGTTGGCTTATTATCAGACAAGCTGCCCAGGTGGAAATTGTAGATCTTTAGCAATTTTTTTCTTTTTCTTTAGTTCCAAATGGAGCGTGGAGTGAAAAGGCAGGAGTGTGCAGAATGACTCGGCTGTTGACCTTGATTTGGCTTTTGAGATAAATGTGCAAGACAGTAAAAATAAGCCAGAAATTTTAGTGAGGCAACCATGTTGACTTTGGCTATATCAACTGCTGAGTGAGAGATATAAGGTTCTTTAACTAATTACAGTCTATTAAAGAGGCTTCCAGCAATTCTGCTAAGGCAGAAAAGTGTACTTATCTCCAAGATTATTTCCCACTCGAGTGGTAGTTTTGAGAGAGTACACTGCTGGATTCTCACAAACAGAATTGTTTCCCACACATTTTAAATGTGCTTGTAATGGTTAATGTAGCCTTAAAGTGCATACTTTGAGAGAGAGTTCAAATCCAACAATGGTTTCAGTCATGATGCTTAAAGCGATTGGTCACGCTCAGACCTTTAAAACTCACCAAGGCCCATAAACAACAGTGAAACAATTTATGCAGTATCCTAGCTAATCACAAGATGTTAGTGTTTAACAAAATAGACAGATCTTTACATGGAATGAATCTATAATATTTACAGTCATTGAATTTTTTTTATTTCAATTAAGTTTAATTTCCCCTATTACTTTAGAAAAGCATGGGTAATGTAACTATTAAATATTAGCTATAGGCATATAATGGTGCATCTAGATCACAGGGTAAGATAATGCAGCATTTTGGGTTAATGAGATCAATTTTTTTGGGGAAAACTACATTCTTTTTTTGTTTTACATATGGCAAAAGCTTGCAGAACTAAAGTCAGATAGTCAAAAACCAAGAGATAATCATGAGAAAAGAAGGTGGAAGGATTAACAGGCAGAAGCACCAGGAAGTATTAGGCATTGTAAAGGTGGAATCCATAGGGGGACCAAAAAAAACCTGAACCTTTTACTGCACATCAAATAGTTTAATGGCTTGAATGTGATTGACATATGCAGGTGGGCTAAAAAAAGCTCAAACTCGAATAATGGTGTGAGGGAATGCTGTAGAGTCATCAACACAATTCAGCATGGTAATCCAGGAGGATCTTATCCCGCAAAGTCGATGACTCAACGCAATTGCTGGTTGTCCTTAGATAGAATACAGATGGACCCAGTATTCAAGGAGAGACAGTCAGTAGGAAAGTTCAAAACGTTTATTAAATAACCAACAAAACTAAAGTGGAGCTGTGGCTCGCGGATACTGCAGGAGGGGGGCGGGGCACCGCCCAATCTCTGACACTCTGTGGGAGAAACACAGGTAAGTGACCATGATCATCTGACAGAAGATGATTATCTGAGTTGGTCACTTACCTGGTTTAACAGTCCAGTCCAAGAATGTCCCCAGTGCTGCAGTTCCAGAGGTCTTGCAGGAAGCTGATCCTGGTCAGGGATTCAGAACAGACAGAACAGGATCCAGATCAGTCTGGAACAGACAGGTGGCAGGATCCAGGCTTCCCAGGCGGGTTCAGAGTCTGAGTCGGACTGGAAGCATGACCAGGCGGTCACGCACAGGAGTAGACAGGATCAGGTGCAGACAGGCAGGCTCAGTGGCAGAGGGTAGCAGAGACAGGACGTGGAACCAGAACTTGATGCAGGACCTTTAAACTGGTCTCCCCCTTGAAGCCAGGCTTACTGAGATAAAAACTGAACCTCCCCACATATAGAGCTAAAAACCCAGAGGACTCCGCAGGGGAGGAACAGTGGACGATCAGGAGACGAGACAAACACAAAAACCTCTTTCCACTGGCTGCCAGGATCCAAAACATGAACCAAGGAATCACAATAACAGACAGGCTAACAGAAAGACAAATAATGAGCTGGCACTGAATGCTCAGGCTGAACTGAATAAAAACCCAGAGGAAACAGGTGAGAGGAATAAATTCTAATTGAGGCAGGGAGGGAAAACGACAGGTGAAAGAAATATCCAATTAAGGAGGAGCAAACAGGCCAGATCATGACATTTTAATGCTTTAAAGAAATTAAGGCAATCATTTGCCAGTCAAAGTATTCCTTCAGTTCAGAAAAATCCAGTGAATTTCTTACGTCACTCACTCATCATTAAATCACTTTAATTGATATGGAGATTTTTAACTAAAGACAGGTTTGACTAGTTTGTGTTTTATGGTTTCCACGTTTGTCTGATTTTTTTTTCACATATTCAAATAATATTAAGCTCTGTTTAAAATAATCGCTG